CTGCCTGTAAGCATGATCATGGTGCTTAACTGACCGCACTGAGCAATGCAGGAGAGCCTGACTGTCTGACACTCCCAATGTGAGGACTGCTGTACAGAGCGTCCTCCTCCCCGCACCGCTCGCTCAGCCTCCTGTGACAGCGTGTCAGAGAGGAGAGCGGGTACAAGCAGTCGGTGATCAGTGATCGCTGAGTGTTTGTAGATAATTGAGGACAGAGTATGGTTACTATATCCCCAATTATGAATGAATGGGAAGGGATCTACATCACATCTACATCACTTCCTGTTCATTCATGATTGGGGATATAGTAACCATACTCTGTCCTCATGTTATGAATGAACAGAAACACTCAGTAGAGAGGATTCCTCTTCATTGATAACAGGGGGTACAGAAAAAGAGATTGAGGGCTCTGGGTGTCTCTGAGGGCTCGGGGTGTCTCTGAGGGCTCTGTGTGTGTCTCTGAGGGCTCGGCGCGTCTCCAGGGGCTCGGTGCGTCTCCGAGGGCTCGGCGTGTCTCTGAGGGCTCTGTGTGTCTCTGGGGGCTCTGTGTCCTCAATCTCTTTTTCTATTTTAAAAAGGAAAATATCAGAGGTCTGTTTAGAACCCCCAATATTTCCCCGAAGCCCCTAAAAGTAAAGTTTAAAAAAAAATATTTAATAAAAAATGAATGAAAATATATTTTATAACATTTAAAAGTTTAGAAAAAATAAAAATGTAAAACATTTGAAAGAATTAAAATGAAAAAAAACAATTTTTTTATTTCGGTTTTGTTTTGGTTTGGAAATGTCCATTTCGGTGTGCACCTCTAGTATTAAGTCATGCAGATATGTTAAATGCAGTTTCTGCCAATCTCTATATCCACTCTCGTGATGTACACGGTTTAAATTTGGTACCTTTGCTGGAAAAACCCTAAAAATACATTTATAAAAAAAAAAAAAAGATATGACAAACCTCTCCCTTCTGATTGATGATGGGGACGGCGTACTGCAGCTTCACATCATGAAACAAGGACTCCAGGAACACGTTGGCTACCCCGATGAGGCTGTGGTTCTCTTGCTCGTCATAGAAAGGGTCTGCGCGCCGGAAGTACGCCCGGCTTACCTACAGAGAAGGAAATGGGCCCCGTTATCTTTGAGGGAATAGTTCAAAGATTCAGGCATGAGACTACGAAACCTAAACAATTATTTTCATGATTACTTAGATCAAATCGTATACTCTACAATGCTCGACAGCAGTGGTTCTCAACCTGTGTAACCTCAGGACCCATGTTTGTCCTCGGTCATTAGGTCGCGACCCGAGTCGCAGTGCAATGGAAGACACGGCATTAGAGTACCACGCGTTCCCGGTCCAGGAGTACGAACTGTGGGGGGGAGGTGCATCTGTGGTACCATTCAAATTAGGGATGCACCGATACCACTTTTTTAAGAACGAGTACCGATACTTTTGATCAAGTACTCGCAGATACCAATTACCGATACTTTTTCTTAAAGGGACAGGTCACATTTTTTCTAAAGCAATACAAACTAATGCTTTAAGGTCACTTTCTTAATATTATGATTCATGACATGACGAGGGAGCATGACGCCGGCTTCCCTGCCAATCGGCTTCCGGATTTGCTAGCTTTCCTGACCAATCGGAAAGCCGGGAGGGCGTCATTGCACGCTACCCGGCTTCCTGATTGGCCGGGAAGCCGGCTCCATGCTCTCTCATCACAAGTGACGAGAGAGCACGGAGCCGTTTCCTGGCCAATCAGGAAACCGGGCAGCGTGTAATGATGCGCTGCCCGGCTTCCTGATACAGGAAGTACTCGTGCTAGGTATCGGAGCATTTGGGCGAGTACGAGTACTTACCCAAATACTCTGTATCGGCACTGATACTAGTATCGGTATCGGTGCATCCCTAATTCAAATGAATGGCAACGCAACACACCTCCCACACCAGAATGCATGTTAGGTGCGATTGCACGGTACAATGCCATTACAGCACTGTACTAGTGCATCCTGGCCATTTAGGAAGCCGGGCGCTGTGTCATTACACGGCGTCCGGGTTCCTGATTGGCCAGAAAGCCAGCTCCATGCTTTCTAGTCAACTAGTGACGAGAAGCATGGGGACGGCTTCACTGCTAATCGGGAAGCCGGGTGGCGAGTCCTTAATGGGACTTCGGGTATCGGTATTCGGTATCGGCAAGTACCGGGAAAAAATATCGGTACTCAAAACAAAAAAAAACCCGGTATCGGTGCATCCCTAATACCCAGCTTTAGATACTCTCCTCTAATTTCCTGGTGCGTCTCTTCCTCAGTTGATATGGACCCCGGCCTGTGAAATCCGGTAATCCTATGAGCTGAACTTCCTGTGCTCTCTGTCTGTGCTGCACTCTGATTAGTTACATTGTTTCCAGTCATCTCGGTGGACAACAGAACACCCACACTTCTTTGTTATGGAGATGAGGAGAGGGGGAGGTGTTCTATTGAAATTCTATATTTTTAAGTGCTCATTTGGCCTGATGCAACCACTTCAAACTGCAATATAATAAGAAACCGGGAGTCTCGCAGTCCAAGGTTGGGATGCAAATTATGAACTTCAGAACATGGAAACAAACATAAGGAAGGGCGCTGCAACTTACAGGATTGTCCTCCTCACAAGCCTTCCATTCCTGGTACAGGTCTCTGATGTCCACCAGACGGTTCTCCAACTTCTCCAGGGACCAGATCTGTTTGCCTTTTCCTTTCCTCCTCACCTGGATGGCCGGTTCACTGAGCACCACGTCACGCTGCAGAGCAAAGCAAAGGTACAAATCTGACATCAACAGTCTCTGAGCAACACATGTATCACCCCTTATTACTGGAGCAAAGAACTAGGATTTTACCATTTACTTACAGTGACACCTGCAGGTGAACTCTGGTAGTGCACCTCTTCTATTCACAAATGATGCTTAATCATTCATCTGCTTGCACCTTGCTTTCCAGAGATTTCTTTTCCCCCACACAGCACTCTGCCGCAGTATTCCGCTCAAGAGTCATCAGCCCTGATGCATGCAGGGGGCTAGCTCTTGGGGAGAAGTTCTGCAAATATTACAATATTTTGATGTCAGTCTGGAGGAGTAGTCAATCCTATGCAGACTGTATTTGTATGCTTTCTGCTCTGCTTTTGACTCCACTAGATGAGCCTCTACCCAAAATATGTATGCTGCATGATGCGTTACCTTACTGTACTGTAAATCAGGTTTCAAGCGGCATGACATGACCAGGTTTACATCCTGTTTTGCTGTGAACAAACTGTTCCTGTCCACCTCTAGATGGTGCTCATCAGAGACGGGAGACCTGCTCTCCTCCAGGGTGCTCATCAGAGACGGGAGACCTGCTCTCCAGGATGATGATCAGGGGCGGGAGACCTGCTCTCCAGGATGATGATCAGGGACGGGAGACCTGCTCTCCAGGGTGCTAAATGCAGCCCGTCTTCCACAAGTAGTTCACAGCAGAGCAGGATGTAAACAGGAAGAAATTAGTATAAATGCCTAAATCACCGACAGGGCCGGGCCAAGTAGTAGGAAGAAGAGGCTGCCACCTTTTTGGCAGGAAGGACCGGACCTGCAACCTATCCTGCTGAATTAGTTCACAGCTCATGGGTGGCAGACGCACTTTGGTCCTTTTACTTTGAGTGCTACAAAACCACGGGGGCCCTGCATTTCTCCCATGACAGGAACCTTGTCCCAGCACGGACCATAGACACTGTAGATGTCCACAGTGGGAGCCCTGTTTTATTCTCTTTTATTACCTACTTGGAAAAGAATCTGCCTACAAATCGGGTTTTATTTTGCATTCTACAAAAACTGAAAGTGAAAGAAGAGTTTTGATTGGCTGGTCTGGGCGACTGCTCCAGTTACTGTACGAGTGTCTGACGTTATGCAGCTCCCCTAGGCCGTAGCAGGGCTCACACAGGGAGAGGCTCACCTTTCTGTTGGCGTTGAGGCTGGAGGCCGGGATCTGCAGGGTGACTTTGTACTCAGTCCTCTTGTCCATCTCATCCGCAATGTAATTGGCCTCCTGGACGTAGAGATTGGCCTTGGCGATCTGCTCCCGGAGTTTGATCAAACTGTGATGCAGCATCACCTCCCTGTAACAAGCAAGAGAATGAAAGGCCGGACGTGAATATCACATATAAATGGCCGAGTACAACGGGATTGTATCATTCATTGGCCTTCATGTAACAGAGACTCCAGCTGCTTCTACGTGGCCAGGATTCCTGGATGTGCCTCTCCCCTGCAGGCTGCAAGTGGGGCCATACTGTGAATACTGTTGGTTCAAAACTGAAGATAAGTATTTACGCGGGTGAGCTGCACTCAGGAAGGGAAAGGGGGTCCAATAGGGGCAAAAAGATTAGTTGTTGATCCTGCCAGTAATCTTACCAGCTGATAATTTCCTGAGCTCTCTGCTTGTGTTGCACTCTCATCAGTTAACGTGTTCCCAGCCCTCCCCTGTAGACTACAGAACACCTTCCTTCTATGTTATGGAGAAGAGGAAGGGGTGTTCTGTGGCCCTGTCCTATGGGAGACAATATTGTTTATGTATAGATACAGTACGCGGTCACCCTAAGACGGGAAGCGTGTTACTGGCAGGATCACCAGCTGACAAAGGGAAAAAAAAAGAAAACCAATGCAGCCACCACATCTGAAGGACTAGTAAGCTGCAATATATACACTTTTTGGTTTTGAGATACTTTAATAATAGTGTACAGGGAGAACACTAGATCAGGTCTCAAACTCAAACGACCTGGGGGCCACTGGGCACGGTTTCTTCTTCCATAGGGGCTGCATGAGGAGAGACAGCCAGGAGAGAGATAGGAGACAAATTCAGTGCCAATTGGCGCAGTGGCATGACCACAATGATCTTTTTCACTGTATGTAAAGGTTGCAGTCAGCCCACCACTGTAAAGAGGAGCATTCTTACCACTGACCACCAATGCAAGGGTGGCATTCTTACCACTGATCACCAATGTAAGGGGGGCATTCTTACCACTGACCACCAATGCAAGGGGTAGGCCATTCTTAACACAGACCACCAATGAAAAGGGGATGATTGTTTCAACTGAACCCCAATGTATTAATTTTAGCAGGGCTCCATGAGACCTAAAAATTATTTCAGCAACATACAAGGAAGCTTCATTTGCTACGGCTTCAAGGCTTTTAAAAAAAACAGGCGATCATTCAGCAAGTAAACTCCAAACAAGTAATATTCCCAGCAGATGTGATCCTAGGAACACTGCTAGTCACTCCGCTATCTTGCTGCTCATATACCCGGGCTCTTAATAAAAGGAAATTCAGCAAAGCCAAACCCATTGTATTCATTTAAAGGAGAACTATGGGGTCAGGGCTTTTCCCCATAGTTCTCCTTAGGGTAACGGGAGGACACAAACTAGCGTCCTCCCGTCACCCTAGGCTCAGTATACCGCGAGTTGCCTATCTAGAGGCAGAGCCAGCTGTCCCCGCCCCCGCCCCCCGTCCGTTCCGCCAGTCAGCTCTGGCGGATCGGAGCGGGGAGGGGGGAATCCAGCGGGGCGAGAGGTGGGCGAGCGCCCGTATGTGTTCGCTCACCTCCCGATCTACTAAGCCGACCTGTGACAGTCTCATTGTCACAGGTCGGCTAGAACTATGAGGTGAGTGAAAAGCACTCCCCTCATAGTTCTCCTTTAAAAGGTGTGTGAAGGCCTACACCATTCACCTGTCATTAGAGCCGCAAGCGCCACAGCTATGTTCTTGAATCACAATCGAGATTCGGGCAAAGCATGCACCACCTCTTCTATGTGAGCAGGGTGTGAGAGGAGGGGCAGGGGGTGCATGGCGCCCAGGCTGAAATTAGTGCGTGTGTGAACACTAGCTCGCCAGTGCAAGGATTTTTGGATACAGAAGGGCCGGCTCTACCCCACTATCGGCGAGCCAAAAGTAACCGGTCTGCAGGCCAGTTGAGGGGTGTAGGGACAATAGGAAGCAATGAATACATATTACACAGACAGATGTATACTTGGAAATCCTGAAAATAGAGAGTTTCCCCATTTTGTAATGTTATCATCTCACCTCTCTTCCGTCCACTGTTTGATGCGCTGCTGAGCATTGGGAGAGCTAAAAGAGAACCTGTCTATGCTGCGATAGTGCTGTTTCTCCGGGGACAGCCTCCTGCGCAGCTGCTCCAGCTCGTGTTCGTACATCAGCCTCTGGCGTTCCAGTGCAGAGCGCTTCTCTTCTTCGTGCTGCTGCTCCAGGCTCTGCAGAATGGACTGCATGGGGTCTATAGAGACGACATCACACGACAACCCAGAATAAACAATCTAGTTATAATGAAGTCATCCTTTCACATACTAATTCTGCATTTTAACATTAAGTAACCACAATAAAAGCTGCTGTAAGATTGAAGAATAAGCCAAGCCAAGATAAGGAACGTGTAATAAAATCCATTACTTTGGCAGTCTGATGAAAAGGAATAGGATATTACGAATGGAGACATTACAACGGTAGACAGTAAGAGGGGGGTATCCTAGAGTATAGAGAACCAAGGGGGGGG